AAAAAAAAAGCGAGAATGACAAGCAAAATCTAAAAATTAGTTTCCGAAAAACGAATCCCCGTTCACTGTAAAGACTATCCAGAAGAAACTGGGTAGTTTCCGCAGTGGAGAGCTCGCTCCATCAGAGTACTCAGTAAAAACTAGAAGATTCTGTATCAGTTTCGTAAAAAAAGGTGTGGATAAGCGGTGATGAATTGTGCTATGTCACTGTGTACACTGATTTTGCTTTCTAATTTTTGAGCTCTTACATTTTTCGATCTATTTCTGGAATGTTTACGATGTAACTGCTAGACAGGTTTGCTTTAAACGCGAAAAATCGTACTATCCGTGTGCTCATATAGCAGTAATAATAGAAAGTCCGAAATAAGCGTCATCACAACATTTCATAGATACCACACAGCCATTCGCACAAAAACTATTTCATACTCGCTCAATCCAGTTTGATGAACTTGAAAGCAAACATACTTTGCAATGACCGCACCACGGAGCATAGAATTCGACCAGCACATCTTTTCCTTCATCGAACACAACTTGCTCGAAATTTGTTGCAACCACAGTCTTCACTGGCCCTTTGTCATCTTTCGGCAATGGTGCCGATTTCACAAACGGCTTAATCTTCCCTGAAAAGAAATTTGTGCATTATTAGTTCAACAAACAACAAGACGTCATCAAAGGGTAGCTGTGGTGCAAAATCGCTCCAAATGCATCGTCAATTGCCTTCATATCCAACCAAATTTCAGGTGCAGATATGTCTTTTGTGCTACTTATTCCCAATTGATACTCGTCACCGGCTTTACACACATGCGTCAACTCTTCGGCTGCTGTTGAAGGGTCGTTCTACCTTAAGTAGGCACTATTTACTGACAAGCAGAGTTCACAAATAGCAGGAAATATGTAATCCACTGAAATTTTGCCCTGGCAGTAGAAATGATATTATGCATGTCGCTCATCTGAAGGAGAGTTTGATCTTCGGTAGCTCAATATGCAAAACCACTTAATCACAGAAAACCTATTTGTTAGCTAAAAAAATATTTTTGTCAACAGGAAAAGTCCTTTCTGAAGAGAAATGTTCTAAAAAATAACCTGCGAGATCGCAAAGATATACCTAAAAAATTTACAAAATTATTGAAT